CAAGATTCTCTTTGATCCTTTCCAGGCTCCATCTGAGGAAGCCATGCGACCATCCGAGCCAGATATCCCTGAGTTCGTCAAGAAGTCTATCCGCGCAGCCAAGAGAAAGGCCAAACGAGAAAACGAGGATCCCGATTTTGTTGTTGGCAAGTCCCACCATAAGAAGCCTCGTCTCGCGGCAGAGCCAGAAGCAGATTTTCTGGATAGCATGGACCCTGCGCTGTTCAATGGGCCGCCAGCTACCCCTGAGGCCGTCATGGATCAGCCTGGCCAGGATACAAGGGACCCGAGCACTGCACAAGACACGGGAACAGACGGCGCCCAGGACACACCAGATCAGACCCCAGCTCCGCACCCGACTCCGGCTCCGGCTGCGGCTGCCGCTCCAGTCCCATCTAGAAAACGGGGTCAGCTGCTATTTGATGCAAATGAGCCTGAACTTCGACACGCCAAACCCATAGCATCATACGTGGAGGCGGACGTTGACTCAGACGAGTTCGAAGAAGAGCGCACGCAAGCAACAAAGCCTAAAACATCCGCTGTCGGCGCACAGGGAGAGAAGATGTCGGCTGTCGATATGGCTGCTAACGCAGTTCGCGCCTTATTCGGAACATCATCCCCCGCACCGCAACCCTCCATTGAAGAAGACCTTAAGTCTGTCCTTGAGACCAAGACTCCCTCCAAACGCCGTGGTCGCCCCCCTAAGACTGCATCTGCTACTTCCCAATGTACGCCAGCTAGTTCTTCCAAGAAGCCAACAGGCGGCCAGAGAGGTTGGCCCAAGGGTCGACCTCGAAAGTCACGTTTGTCTCAAGTTTTAGCCGCGGATGATACAACCGAATTCACTGACGAGTCCATCCAAGACCAAGGCAACGGCAGTGATGTCGAACACGGCAGAATGGTTGATGAACTCGAAGCACAGCTAGCTGCCGAGCTCCGTCCGGCTCCTTCGGAGGCTATAGCAGAACCTCCGCAACCCCGACGTCGAGGAAGGCCTAGAAAGTCTGAGGTAACCATCATTGCAGCGGGATCATCTGCTGCAGACCCTTTAGAAGCAGACGCCCGGTCAATATCAGGCAACCCTGATAATCGAGCCTCGCGAAGTGCTCGCCGTACTCAACGATCCGAGGGTATTGACAACGGATCTGCTCGAGATTCTGTATCCCCACCGCCGCCCAAATCGGGCAACGGAGGAACGCAGCTTATGTCTATGGCTGAACGAATGGCACTTAAGGGGAAGAAGTTCAAGATAGGCAAACGCAAATCCACAACTACTTCAGCCAATGTGACTGCAGCACAGTCAGGGGCGTCCACGCCCGCGCCAACCTTCAAGGCTCCTCTGGCGGTAATGGATGAGCCGACAGCAGAAGAGCCGAAGGGGGCTGCTCGTAGTCCTAGTCAGCACAGTGAACATCTCGGTAATAGATCACACTCTCAATCCTCGGCCCATAACGAAAGCTCGCGCAGCCCTTCGCTACCACCTCCAGTTCGGCGACCTCCACAGCCGACAGTTGTCAGAATTGGCGATTCAGATTCGGAAGCAGATATCAGTGATTCAATGTCGGTGTCAGGATCGGATTCCGGTAGTGACGGGGATATTCCGGCAAGACGTGGCGCTGGTCGTGGGGGGCGAGGAGGTGGGCGAGGCCGAGGCAGAGGTAGAGGTAGACCAAGGGGTAGTGGGAGGGGGCATCCAAGAGTCTAGAGAGCGTGTAAGAGGTTTTCGTTTAACGGGCACATTGATACCAATGCTGGAGGACTTTGAAACATTTGCGTTCACAAATGTTCGGTGATAGGGGTTATCAACGAATTTAATGCTACTCCGTACATCATGGTCTAACGACGTGTGGTATACATAAATTAGATAGTTAATGGGTTCATAATCATGTCTGTGGTGAGCCCAAGTCCTTTTCCAAATCACTCCACCGTCCGTTTCGTTTAGGGTCTAATTTCCTGAGAATCTGTAACCAAGACGTCACATCACTTCGACTCTCAGGCTCGAATGGCTGCCCCGTGAGTTGGTTCAATGCGATTGCGTACTCAACAAGAGCCTCGTAGATCCATTTTATGTCCTTGTAGTCTTGTAGTAGATCCTTGATTTCGGTTACTTCATCGTAAATGTATGACTTGCGCTCCTCCATCGTCAGATTTGGCGCTATTTGGCGGGTTGATGAAGGATTTGCGAGGTTCAATACTAGGAACTGGTGATAGTACCATAAAGACTGGTCTTCGGGTCCAACATTCAACGCTTCGCGAATAAGCTCAATTTCTAATCCAGATTAGCGATTGTGCAATATTTTGCAGGACAAAACAAACCTTTGTCAAGTAAATCTTTGCGAGACGCGTTGTCTGCTTTGCGCTCATTCAGAAGCCTTGTAATGAGCTGACTTCGGTTATGCCATGCTGAGAAATTGGACAGATCCTCATGGATCTTTTTGGTGGTATACTCAAACTCGAGCTCTACCAGGCTCTGACCGTTGAGCACGGAGCTCTCAAGCTGCGCTACAACGTGGCGACGGTAGCCCCAGGCGTGGAAGTTTCGTCGGTCTTTAGTGAGCATCTTGCTGACAAGACCTAGTTCCTCTTCCCAAATGTGCCGAGCTATGGATACGTCAAGTCTTTCGATGGCGCGGTCAAGCGTCCATAGTCGATAATTCCATATCCAGTAGCACTTGGGAAATTCCATCAGCAGGGGAACAGTGAAGCCCAGTTCGGAGCGTATCACGTTGGTATCGGCATCGCTATCAGTCGTTGTACCAGTCTTCCCAGCTGTCGGGGGGCCGGGGCGTGGCGGGATCTCGGTCGAGGAGGAGGGCAATGAAGCGTCGGAAGAGGCTGTGTGAGTGCCTATCGCTGAGGTATTCTGCGACTCCTTCGAGTGCGGCGATCCAGCCGAGGGTTTGGACAATAAGCCATAGATTAGACAGCGCCTGCGGGCGTTCCATATCGTGTAGTATTCAGGGTTGAGCCGTAGCAGCTTCGATGTAAGCTGGAATGTTTCGGCACCGTAGTTGTTGTCGGATATCTGCATATGCGTGAGAAACACGACCCTTGCATGTTCGGCTAGAACTAACCTGTTGGCGTATATCGTCCTCGAGACCACAGTACTTTTGGATCCTGACGAGATCCTGCTGGCGCTGTTCTTCTGTCCGTGACCGCGCAGCGCGGGCTATGCCGTGCTGCAAGCCTTGGGATCAGCATCAGTTACGGTAGACTAGTTTGTTGGGGGGGGTCGAGACTAACACTGGACATCCTGAAGAGCCTCGGCTTGTTGATTTAGCCTTGATCGTTGTTCGCGATGGGTTTGTGGAGGCTTGTGAATGTTTTACTGCTGAGCTGGACGATATGACCCCGCGTAGGAGTGTAGGGTAGCGTGATGTGGAATATTAGTGTCTTTGTGCTGCGATATCCTTGACTTATTCAGAAACCTACCTCAGAGCTACAACAGACATTAAATGACTTGCTTGGTACGATCTACCGGCGTCAATATTTATTTTCAATGATTCATCAGTCGGCTTGAGAGTAAAGTATGTTACTGGCCTCAAAAGTATGCTAGGAAGCTGACAAAACAAGCGTTACCGCAACTAGGGATACAGAGCGCATGATAAATCTGACAGAGAGAAATCACGGGGTCATAATCCAACAGAAGAGTACAAGAAATCTCTATCGAGGGCTGTTTGTCGTTCCTTGCATCGTAATTGATCGATTGATATCAGAGCGAAGAGTCGTCCAAGGGAAACCCATAAATCGGTGATCCGGTGCAAACGAGAATAATGTAGCTGCAGACCAAGCCAATGTGAGTCACGAATATTGAAGTTATATGTAGATCACGATGCACGGCGTCACCGTGTTGTGTTGGGCTTCATGCACCTCAAGTTCGACCCTGGCACGGAGCATAGTGTAATGAAGAAAATGGATATAACTTATATCTATCATACCTCTACACCAAAGACACGAAAATGATGACTGCTATAGTTGAGTGCCTGCCTACCAATGTAGTTGCAAAGACCTACGTTGACCTCGAAAGAAATTACATATGACAAAAGGATAGATAATACCTTAGTTCAGACTGAGTAGAATACCTTATTAAGGACTACACCACAACATGCACTTAAATGAATTCATACTAGGTACTTCACTTGATGTTGTGATACAATATCGTCGACTGACACTTTACACAACGTCCATGTGATGCAGAAACTTGTCCTGCCCGACTCAAGTTCGAGTTACAGAGACATCAAATCAGCGTGGTAGGCGTACATACCAAGGTAGGTAACTACCTTACCTTACTAAGGTACACACCATTGCACGATGCTTCAGTACCTACTATACCTTAGTACCTTACCTTACCTTAAGATACAACCTATAACAGAACCACCTAGGTACTAACCTACTAAGGGAGACAAGGACTTCAGTATCTGTGCCTCTCGTACCTTCCTTCCATAATGTGGGAGTCTGGAAATGATACCTCGAGTGTTCCTTCCCTTGGAGTTAGTCCTCTCCCGCTTCGCTCTTTATATATCAATCAACTTGCCTCTCAGTTCTCAACACAGTCAACAAAATTCAATCCTTTCATCTCCAAGATTGATTCTTTATAAATACTGATACCCGGCTTCTCATCAATAAAGGCGAATTAGGTATGCTGTCGTTTCTCCATCGCCTGACGGTTGTTGCCATTCTTCTCGCAACTCGGCCGTGCCATGCATCCCGTCCTGGTCACTCTCTCCGGTCACCAGAGTATGCCCCAGGAGGACACGTGAACGCTGTTTATTTCGTCAACTGGTTTGTGATCTCGCTTTATCAAGCATAGCACTTTATCAACACTGTCAGGGGCATTCATGACAGAGGCTTTTACCCTCAGCATATGGATGTATCCCACATCTCTCACGTACTCTACACATTCTTGGGTGTCAAACCCGACGGAACAGTGTAAGTGGAACGCAGTATGACCTAAACACCCAAATCAGGCTAATCAAACATGAGATACTCCAAAGACGAACATGCCGACTTTGTGGCACAATTTAACGGAGACAGTGAGTCTACCTTCTTTACCTTAACTTAACAGCTGACGACAGAATAGGCTACGATGAACATAAAAGAAATCCAATCGTCAGCTCAAGACTCTGCTCTCCATCGGCGGGTCGGGGGCCGGGTCTGCGAACTTCAGCTCGGCCGCAAGCACACCTGACAACCGTGCCAGATTCGCCTCGACTTCAGTCGACCTGATGTGGAATCGGGGTTTCGACGGTATCGATATCGACTGGGAGTTTCCGGATGATGAAATCGATGCTACTAATTTAGTCCTCCTCCTTCAGGCCATACGGAATGAGCTCGACATACATGCAGGAAAATACGCCTCTGGTCATCGTTTCCTACTGTCTACTGCCGCCCCAGCTGCTCCTGAGCATTACTTAAAACTTCAACTGAACCATATGAGCGGAATTGTTGACCAAATCAACCTCATGGCTTATGACTACTCTGGAAGCTGGGATCACATCAGTGGCCATAACGCCAACCTGTTCCCGTACAAACGTCCTGTCGCAAAGCTCAATATCGACTACACCCTCAATGAAAGCTTCGAAACAGCGATCAATACAGACTATGCTATCGGGGACTATCTTAGATCCGGGGTGCCCGCTGAAAAGATTGTCCTCGGCATCCCTGTCTTCGGTCGCTCCATTGAAGAGAACTTGGGCCTTGGAAAGACCTTTAGTAGTGTTGGTAAGGGCTCCTGGGGGCAGCAAGGCGTCTGGGATTATAAGGTACTTCCCAAGGAAGGAGCTACAATCATAAACGATCCAATAGCCCATGCTTCTTTCAGTTACGACGAGAGAAAATACGAATTCATCTCCTAGGATACTCCCAGCGTGGTTCAGGAGAAGGCAGAATACGTGCTGGAGCATGGTCTCGGCGGAACCATGTTCTGGGAGGCTTCTGCGGACAAGAAGGGAGGTGATTCTCTTATCAGCACAAGCTATTGCGTCTTGGGAAGCCTGGAAACGACACAGAACTGGCTGGATTACACGAATTCATACTTTGACAATATTGCGACAAAGATGGGTGAGGAATATATATGAGCTGGCTCGATCTTACAAGATTCACCACGGAGTTTGGACGAGTCATGAGGTCCTAGACTTGAAACACTGCTGATTATTGACTATTAAATAAATTTATAATATGCGTTACCAAGATCATATGGCTCTCTGTCATACCTGAAAGATGCTGGATCTTAATCTTCCAACAGGCACGTCGTGAGACCACGGAGCAGCAACATCGTGATTACCTCAAGCTTTAATCTCTTTGGTCCTTCTAAGTAAGTGTCGCCGATTCTACGACTTCCAATTTGTGATCAACTAAGGTAGGGCAAGACATTAGGTGCTTCTAGCATGACTCCTTCCCCTCCACCCAAACTCCTCTCTATATCCTCACTTCACCTTTGCCTCTCTTCCCTACAGAATTCTTCTTCCAAGCATCAATAAAACTCAACATCTCAACAAGGTAGGTAATTTCGCCGAGGGAAAGTTCTGTCGATCGTGGCAGTATTATTCAGGTTATCGTACAATAGTTCATTCGTTTCTTCATGTCCCCGAATTTCAGGGGCCATACATCCGGAACTTGTCGAGAATTCGATATAGACAAAGATGTTTCGACAACCGCCTCGACGTTCTCGACTGCTTCCAAGAACTAGCGGGGCAGACTTGTCTTGTCAGTCGATAAACTCGCCGGATTCGGGCTATAGCTCCGCAGATGAAGTCTTTGGGCTCTGCCTGAATCTTCGCAGACGCTGTTTTCCTTCCTTCGATGGGCCAGGGCCGGATGAAATTCCAGTCAAATCGCTTGAGAACCAAGAGCAAAAACCGCCAGCATCGAGCAAAACAGGACTCGCAGCCGAGCCCACCAAAACACCAGAAAGGCGTCATCCAAAAGGGAAGGCCGATGTGATTTCCCCCTTTTTAACTCGAAAAGCTCCAGACGTTTCCCTCTCCAAGACAAACGCATTGACCCAAACATACAGTATCTAGACAGATATGTCCCGAGACGTGATCCCATTTCCCCATCATCCGAGAGATACCGAACAACAAAGCAAACCCAGGATTTGTCGAGAGATGAGCGTCTGAGGCGTGACAAGAGTGCCTCAGCAGATCCGTTCGTTCTAAAACGTCGTGTGATGGACCCCGATCCCCGTTTTCCTTTCCGAGTTGACGACAGTCATCTGGACAGAGGTTTGGCATCCAACCTGTTTTACTTCTTTTTCCTTGTTTTCATCTAACCAGCTCATCACTAGGTATAGCTCTTGGGCAACTACCACAGAACCGAGGAGGAGATCGTCAAGTTAGTATGGGAGCCATGTGGTCGGTTGGTGGTCTTGCGCCCAATGCAATCGCTACCGATGATGGACAGGGGCATCTCGTCAGACGTGGGACCAACGCTCGTGTGTTTCCCACCCTCTTCCAGGAAAGTCTTGTCAGCACATCAGTCGAGAAGGAGAAGCACGAAGGCCGCATCGCTTCGGCTCTCGACATTGACCAAGTACGAAAGATCCTCGAGTTCGCACGGGCCCAGCAAATCCCTCGAAGCATTAAACAGCACGGCCTTCATGCGGACTTTAGTCACACAAGTTGGAACGGATATCAGTGGGCAAACAAAGAGCAGTGGTCAAGTAAGTTGAAAGTGCTAGTCTATTAAAATCATAGTTGACCATAAACAGTTCCTCTTCGGCCAGCAAAGAGGCGTCTTCTACCGGCTGCTCCATTCAGGTTGGTAAGTCTAAGTGTTCAAAAGAGCTGAGCTGATGGCCGTCAGAGTACTGGATGCCCCAAATCTAAAGGATGACTTCTACTGTTCACCGCTGGCGTACTCATACACCGCGCAAACTCTTGTTGTCTGCCTGGGGAGCCTTCTTTATGCCTGGTCTGAGTTTCGGGGTGTGCAGCTGATCCATGGAACACATTCCGATACCTAGTTGACGTCGGTTGCTTTCTCATCAACTCCTGGAGGCAAAGCTGTGCTTGGGATCGGGCACTCCGACGGGAGTGTGCTTTTCCAATCTCTCTTTGACCCACTACCACGATTCGAGATTCGCCAGGCCTTTCCTATCTCCTGTGTGAGCTGGCGCCCAGTTTGTACTTTGCGACCTTCCAAAAACCCCATGAACCTAGGGGTCGAAGTTCTGACGGAAGACTTGGTAGTTGGGGATGAGATGGGCAATATCTACTACTACGTCGTAGAATGGCCGATAGGCTGGGAAGTCACGCGGGACACTTGGCCCGGTGCAGTATCGTTGGTGACCAAGATCAGCAATATTCACTGTCAGCAAGTATGCGGTCTTGCATGGTCATATGATGGTCGGCTATTCGCCTCAGGTGGAAACGACAATCTCTGCTGTCTTTTCGATGCTGATCAAGTCTCCGGGCGGCGAACTGAGCAAGCCCCTGGGGTAAATGGTGTTCGAGGGCGTATAGAGGCGGGCAGCGCGTATGGTGGCATTGAGACAAGAGTTACACGGTTGTTGAGCGTCGATGGGGACGACGATATGCCCGCGAGGGCGTTCAGGGCACAGCTACGGCCGCTTCCGACTGGAACAGACACCGTTCGGTATCTTGGCCCTGCTATCGCGAAGCATCATTGGAACCACGATGCTGCTGTAAAAGCCATTGCTTTTTGTCCTTGGAGGCGAGAGTTGGTGGCAACAGGAGGTGGCTCTAACGACAAGTGCATCCACTTCTTCCATACGCCATCCGGAGCAGCTCTCGCAACTATATCAGTGTCGGCCCAGGTAACCTCGCTCATCTGGAACACAACACGCAGAGAGATTGCCGCCACATTCGGGTATGCTTCACCGGAACACCCCTATCGTGTGAGCGTTTTCAGCTGGCCGGAGTGCAAACAGGTTGCAGCAATTCCTTGGGAGGACGATCTGCGGGCCTTGTATGCCATTTCATACCCTCGAGGACCGACCCCTGATGACCCAACCGCACCAGCAGGGGGAAAGGAAGGGTGCATTATTGTTGCATCGAGTGACAAGAGCATAAAGTTTCATGAGGTATGGTCGCGAGAACGAGGCGTGACCGTGGGCGCCACGGGTATTCTGGCAGGAAGCGATATCCTCGAGGGGCTTGAAGGCATTGACAAAGAAGGAGACGTAATCCGATGAACTGCTTTCTTTATTTCTTTCTTTTTTCCTTGTCCGAGAGAATCTCTACCTGAGGAGAATTGTCTAGACTACAAGTTATGTTCAGGATTGGTGGGTAGCTTTTACTCTGAGAATGATAAAATGATAAGACGAGGAACCTAGACTGGTCTCTATTCTGTTAAACTTGGTTAAGTATTGCTGCGTATTTACAGGAAGTGAGTCGCAGAAAGGGTCAACTGTCCACTGTTGTACTGAAGTAAAGGAACAAAAACATATCAAAATGTAGGGCAGGTAGATGCCACGATAACGCCCAAGCAAACGACTCCGAGAACTCCAACCGATGCGCTAAGCCCGCTGTTTCTTTTTGAAATGGATGGAAAGAAGATAAGAGACAAGCATGGTGTACCTTATTTCAGGATAGCAATGAGCAAGACAAGAATGATGATGAGAACCACGATGGTGGTCATTTGCTTGTTCTCGCTTGCGCCTCGAGCGACCTTTCCAAGCATTCTACTCGCACGATCCAGTCGGCTCTGGTGACGATCGGTAACAGCCTCAACCTCGTCGAGCATAGCAACGTGGCTATCGAGCTCGTCGCCGATTTGCATGCTAAGCTCGCGCTGGCGTCCGATAGACTCGCCCAAGCGATCAAGCTGCTCATCTTGTTGTTCTAGGATCTGGGCGTGGTACTGGTGAATCTGCTGGTTGTCCATGCCCTGTGCCTCGTCTCGGTAGCCGGCGCTATCAGAGGGATCATCGCGGTAACGACCAAAGAGCTCAGCGGACGGCGAAGAAGGGGTGTCGCTGAAGCGAACAGTCTTTGGCTTCCTTGAGACTGGAGATGTTGACGTTGCGTGCTCAAAGTCGTCGGCGAGCTCTTCCGAGTTGGGGTGAGTGAGGGTTTCGGCGGTTTTGGAGTTTGGTTGGCCTTGGAATTGAGTTGTGAGGTCGTCTAGTTGCTTCTGGAGCGATGTGATGGATTCTGTGAGGCTTGTAGCGGCGCTGAGGAACAAGATCAGCATTGAATATGGTGTTTAATACCTTGAGAGAAGGGCTTACTCTGTTTCGCCGGCAAAAGTCAAGCGCTGCTCCTCATCGCGGAGATTGGCCAGGCCATCGCGGAACTGGTCAAAAGATCGTGAGATGTGACCATCTTGCGAGTCGCCTTCAAGATTGAGATTCTTAGCCCGTTGACGCTCTAACAGCGAGAGCTTAATGTGGTCGGCGAGCAGGAAGAGTTGATTGGCGCTCGACATGGTTGGTGACTGCGATGCGCTGCGATGGGCAACGATGCGGTGGATAATGATCAATCAATTAGATGGCGCTGTTCTCAGTTTGGGGCCTACTACCACAGGCGCCAAAAAAGCAAAAGAAAGAAAAAATACGACGATTGTATAGCTCTGATCTGAATCTGCCGACAACAAGAGAGATTATACTTTATTGGGAATGCATCGCCGACTGGAAGTGATGAATGATGTTGTAGGTGGAAGTTACCTTCTTGATGAACCTTAGTACCTAGGTACGTAGGTACTAACGTAACTAGATGACGGATGGGCTGTCCTAACCTAGGTTCCGAGAGTTGGTGTAACTCGACAAGTGATGTATATGAGGCATCAAGATGATAGTTGAACAGGCTAAGATACCTAAAATAACACAGGTGCCTCCTGCGACGACCAGGTACTTAAGAGTCGTGGCTTTATCTGGCCACCGGAAGAAAATACCTCGGCCAAACTCAATCTCAATGGAGGAGGTTGGAGACATGCTTCCCCTGAGCCAGTCCAGTCCAGTCCAGTCCAGTCAAGTCAAGCCAAGGTTAATAGGCTTCCATTTAAACGCCACGAAGAAGGGAAAAGGCAGCAGTGAAATGGATATGATATATATATAATATATATATGTATGCCCTATCAAGCTCAACAGTATAATTCGTCTGTTCTTATAAATGGTGTCTCGTACTGGGAGGACCAGTTCAAGAGACAGGGAGTAAAGCCCCCGCTGTGAACAAGCTCTCGATTCAGTCCTCAAGAGGCAGAAGAGCCAAGGTACCTAGGTAGGCAATTCAAATGGTTGATTTCAGGAAAAGTCAAATGATGCCGTGCAGAAAAGTCTATCAAGAGCCATTTATTTATTTACACCATAGCATACTTAGGTTCACCACCACATATCTTATGGCAGGGCCATGCTTGTACTGCATGTAAGAGAGCATTCTAGGAGAAGATTGGCTATGCTTCAGTTAACTTCAGTTGTGTTATTGATCGAGATGGTCTGGACACCTACTAGCTAATCTATCATGATAAGCGCACCAACTATCGTGTTTTCATTGAAATGTCTCTCAAGTGTTGGCACAGAATTATGCCTGAGCCGCATGAGAAGAGCTGCAGGTCCAAGTCAAGACATTGGCTTTGTTGCAGCTCAAGAAGTGACTTTTCAAGCCACTTCATGGCCTGCATTGGCTGTCATTTGTTGGATGAGTATTGATTGTGTGTTCCATTACCTTATTTAGCGGTGCTTCCAGCATCTCAAGGACAATGCCATCCAAATGTATCCAATGCGTCGTGCTATACGAGGAAACCCATCAAACCGGCCCTTTCCAATCCTGGCGCCCATGATGCTTGCTTCCTGTGTGTGGACATAATGTAAATGCAAGCCCGAGCCCGAGCCAGGCGAACCCAGGTCAAGGGTGTCGCGTCGTATTGTCTTGCTCGCGAAAATGACGCCCGCAACAAACGCGCATCTATTAGCGGGCGCGAGTTTTTCTCCGACTGTGCCACAAACACAGCTGCACAATTTACACAAAGCCACAGAAATGTTCTGTTCGACAATTTAAAACATTCACAGTAGAGGCACATTCGACACCAAGTTGCCGTTTAATGGTGTAAATTGCAAGAAATGGTATCAAGCCATGACTACCCGGTCTATGGCATTCGCTCTCGGTAGCCTTTCTTTACCGTCCATCCCAAGGCTCCTTTCCCATTCCCATTCCCAGTCCATGAGCATGGCAAACACGTAACTCCGTAAATAGCAAGTACAAGATGCGTCAAGAAGAAAATTTGAAATGTTCCCGGACGAGGCTTCTCTAGTCCATCCCCATGTCCATATCAGGGACGGCGTTGGTTGGTCGCGGTGATTCGGCTGCTGAAAGAACCTCCATTCCGTCAAAAATAGGAGGAGAGCATTGAAGATTTCGGAGTACGCCCTCAGCATTCTGGCTGACAAGTTGGCCTTGACGGAGGTTCTCGGCAAATAGGAAGAAGCCCTCGTTGGTCTCCACTAGATACGACTGGAGACCGTTGCTCTCAAGAAGGATTCGAGCATTGGAAACAGGGAAGTGGTTCTCTATGTAGCGAGCCCAACCACGAGCGGCGGCTTGGATGTGCTCTTCTTCACTGATTCTTCGCCAGCCGATGCCAAGGTGCAGAGTGAAGTTATCGACAACGGGGCCCTCAATAGCAGGCTTGACTTCAGACTGGAGGGGAGAAGTGCTGGCTGCAGGTGCTCTGGATAGAGTGGGCGATACGCGCTGCAGCTTGGGGTTTCTGATCAGAGAGCGCACCTCCTTGATGGCGGCCTCTTCAGCAGCCTTCTTCTCCTCAACCCAGGTGCCGGATTGGCTGCTGGCGTCTGTGACGTAGCGAGTACTCTTCTTGATGAGGGTCATGCCAGGGCCGTAGATCCATTCCTCTTCGGGCTCTTCAACGGGCAGGGACTTCATGTCAGGCTCAAGGTTTTCAGAGGCCTCGTCCCTGGAACGCTTTCTACCAGCTGCAGAAGGTCGAACAGGCTGAGCAGCCAACTGGCTTGGCAGAGGTGCAAATCGGGGTGGTGTGTGGTGTCCGAAGCTTGCCATACCCATTGACTGGTGGGCATGTTGGGGAGACATGGTAAGGACAGGAGAGGAAGAGAACTGAGAGCTGAAGTACGACATTTTAAAAAGAGTATTCTGTTCTGTCCTGTTCTGATCTGTGATGGGAAACTGGGAATGTTTGCAAGGTTAGTAGTCAGTGTTGTCACAAACCATCTATAGCGTATCGTCTCCGGGACACGCGGTGATGATGAGTTCGCTCAAGAGAAGAGGTGAGGAGGGCGTCGGCGAGATGTAGCCTGATAAGTGACGATGAGATAGAGAGAAGCAGTGGAAGAACGCGATGGGTGCGGCCAGGACGAGGCACGAGGGCAAGGTACGCACGCGAAGGTGAGGATGAGAGGGTGGATAATGAGGTAAGTACTAAGTGAGTGGATGTGGTTTAAGACAAGTCGTGAGGGGAATGACTTTTGGAGTTGCTATGTCCTGAGATGGATGGGATATGTGAAGAGAGGGAGAGGAGGAGGAAATTGATGGGGAGGAAGAAGGAGGATTAAAAGCTGTAGAAGAATGCGAGGGGAGGACTGCTCAAATGGAAAGAACTTGTGAGTACAGTAGGTCGGTAGGTAGAGAGACGAAGAAGGGGTGTGAAAGTGTGAGTGGCTCTTTACCCCAGGTTGAGGTGCTCTCTTGCTCTTTAACGCATCCACCCAACCCATGCAGCCTCACTCCGATCTCTAACAGCTACTGGAGTTAACACTGTGCGTTGGTCTCCCGAACGGCGAACGCCGCGTATAGGTACTCCGAGAAGATACCCGTACGTCCGAAATAGCCATGGGGCAGCATCAGAAGCTGGTATCGGATTCAGCAAGCTGCAGCTGGGGCTCGTGCAAGACAGTACGCATACGGTATGCACGCCATCAGCTTATCGCAAACCTCCCGGCCCTAAAAGTGGTCTAGCTTGAAGCTAAGGCACCTCGCAGCGTCAGGTACGTACTGTCTAATGGTCAGCTCTAATTCGCGCTTGACCCCTTCTGGGTTGCACAATTGTTAGGGGTCTCTCTGCCGTAAGGGGCATGGCGTCTGGGCGGGTCTCCAGCATGTCTTGAGCCTTTACCTGGTTGGATGGACAACGTTTGACTTGACTCTAGTTGCCTGGTGCCACTCTGAGCACTCGCTCAGCAATCAGACCTCAGAGCCGAGCCCCCATTTCAGCCAATTTTTTTTTTTGCTTCTGATCCGCAGCTAGACATTGACCAATCTTTTTCCGATGGGACGCAAAGAGATCCACCCGGGCTTCCGCCCAGCCCGAGTCAGTTTTTGTTTCTGCCCTGATCTTCTCTCCCATGGAATGGCTCACTCGGATTGGAAGTTTGTAGTTCCGAGCCGGTTTCAAGCGGTACGTACTTTGCGTAGTGGAAAACCTTACTAGTAAGGTACCTATATACCTACTCCGTAGTAGCAAGGGAAATAAGTGGATCAAATAGAACGCCGGACGTCCAGTGTCTTTCTGCTGTCGTCTCTCCTGGTGCCTGAGGTGGCCACAGCCAAGCCAGGCACATCCAGTCTGACAAAACTGGAATTTTCGTTGCTGCGAATGGCTGGATCTGGAGCCCCCCGGAGCCGGACCAACTGAAATTCGAACCTGCCCGAGTTTGTGAGGACAGATCCATGTCCGCGCCCGTTGTCCCAAACGGATCACAAAGGAACTATCACCGATATTCCATCACTCACTAATGGAGAAGCAAGACCCAAGGGAGGAATGCTCCTTTAATTCCATGACATCGTCTTGGTAACGAACTTCATGAACAATTGATTATCCTGATTCAGTAACAAACTAACGCAAGGTAAGGTAAGGAAGGCGTTGAGTTAATAACTTCAACCGACACCCTGCTTGATCAGCAAAACCAGCAGTCCACTGTAATATTATGCTCTGTTTATCTTGTGTTAGCAAGACTGATCCTCGTACTCCTTGCATTTGCCGATAATTCTGGACCACCTGACATCACCACGGATGTCTGTCGGCAAATCACATTACACATCGTCGGCGTTCTCACTGCCTCCATACAAACCCTGAAATCCTGGTGTTCTCAACCCTACTGGGCTAGTATTGCGTCCAGCACGCCTTCTCCTTACTGTCACTGGTGCGTCGTCAATTTCGACTCTCACTCGCCGTCCTCGAACTGGCGCCGTGTAAGCTCCATCAAACCTGCTTTGATGGCGCGCTTCTGGAAGCTGTCTTGGAGTTTGGGGTTGTCCTTCAACGGGCAGGCGATCACTGTACACAGGAAAATGTCTTTGGGGTGTCATAGGCTCAAACCCTTCGTCAGCCGGTGAGATTGAAAGCTCACCAGCATCTTCGGGGGGTTCTACAACTTCTCCCAGGCTCTGCGAGAGGTCGTCGTTAACTTCTTCCGTTTCATACGTTGACCCGTCTAGCTAAACAAATGCCCATTAGCCTATGCGTGCTTATCTTTCATTTCGCCACAACCCATGCAATTCAAGGGGGTTTCATCGATACATATCCCGATAATAATGACAGTGGCAGGAGTTCGGTTGGGGAAGTGTCCCTCACAGTTGCCGCCAAAAGTTGTTCTATCGTATCGCGTTCATCCTCATCCGTCACGGAACCATCCCTACCATTATCGTGCGGTTGCGTGTGGGCAGGCGCGGTATCCGCATCTCCATGGTCATCTTCAAAATTGTTAGTACCTCAGTTCCGATCGTATCTCGCCATTGATTGTCTGTTGGCTTACCCAAGCTTTGCCGCGGGCGGAAAGGAAGTCGATGTTGGTCTGGTTGTCGGTGCAGGCGGTTGATGCCGTGATCAACGTCCCTGTAGGTGGTCTCCTCGGAACTGGCGGTACCGTAGTCAAGCTGGGGAACTCGTGTTCCTAATTCCTCTTCACCGTCTGACTCGTTTCTACCATCTGAAACTGGCGTGTCGTGTCCAATGCTAGAGTCAGTGGTTGGTGTTACGATCCTGTAGTTGAGGGCATCTTCAAGTGCAGCTTCTTGATCATGCTGGATGAGATCATTGCGTCTTTTATTGACCTTCTGGCGACTGATTAGGTGCTTCCTGTAGCGACTTCGGCGCTCAGCGTCGCTAATATCACGTGTGGCTATCTTGATCGTCGTAGGTTGAAGTCGGAGCATCTTGTAGGGTGATGGGCCGATTTCACTCTAGGCTTTCACAATGAAGCGTCATACGTATGGTTGTGGAAACATGGATAAACAACATCGTAATAGCTTGTGTAGGTATGTATTTGTTCCTAACATCTCTCAGGACGCAGCTTCCCAAAGACTGGATTGTTCAGTCTGGGTACTGAAAAACTTAGCACAAGAATAGGAATTTCCATATAAGTAAGGTGGGTAGCTCTTGAGCTCTAGGGTAAGGCATTAATTATATACTAGGGTATCGTGTTCATCTTAACAGGTAATGAGTTGGTTGATGTCTGCTTATGCGGTGAAATTCAACAGTGTTCTCTGATTATTGTCATAAGCTATGGCTTCGTGGTTCCTCATTCCCTCAATGCCCTGTCTTTGGTGCTTCCATGATTCAATAGGTAGGAGGCTGACGACATCACACTTACGAAAGTACTTACTCAGCCCCCAGCAAGAGATGCTGAGATATGGTGGATAACGTCCTTTATACCTCATTACCTACGTGGCTGATTAGAAACAAAATCCAGTATTCAGCAGTATAGATAATCCGATATGGTGTCCCTATTACGCGGCTATCCATCACGAGATACTCGATTTACAGATACATCTTGGAATTTACGTGGTTTCTGGCTGATACGAGGTGCTGCGCCGCGCTGGAAGAACTAAGTGATGGTAATGATATCGATATGCATGCAAGAAAGATCCCCATGTTTTGAATGATATGATATCCACGTTTGCAGTGAACCCTGTAATTCAGCAATGATGTTGTCATGATTGTGCATCTGATCAATACGTGGAATCAATGATGCTTCTCAGATTGAGGGGAGATACCTAATATTTACCACATGGAAATGGAAAGCACTACGGTGTTTGA